GCTCTCATGGGGACTGCAAACTTAGCGACAACAAATAAAGAGACAACAACAGAAATTACAAGTGAATGAATGGAAATTATAGAGAAACAACATCATCAAAAATAAGAACGCAGATCAAACATACAGTTACAGCCACAGGAAGATAGAACTATACATTTATGTACAGCATCTGAGCTAACACAAGCACGAGATTCGTAGAGACGCGTTTCCTGTCAAAAATACTGAGAAATTGTTCGTTTTGACACAGGCGTGTGTTTAAGGGAACACTGAGGCGCACGTAAGGAGTCGAAATCCACTCCACAACTAACGATTTCCAGCTGAGATGCTCTACCATTGAGTTAAGAGAACTCGCCGGTAAGCTGCGGCTATTAGCAGGTTCATAAGAGACAAGTGCACTGGATTTCTTCAGCCTACACTTACTAAATAGTTAGGTAATTTGGTATTATCAACTGATTTGATAACGTAAATTGGCCACCGTAAAGAGTTTAAAAGCTGATGTTTCGAGCGCTAGCCCTTCGTCAGGGCGATTGGGGCCAACGCTCAAAACGTCAGGTTTTATACTCTTTACGGTGGCCAATGAACGTTATCAACTCGGTTGATAATACGAAATTACCCTGTCCTACTCTCCCACCGATGCTGCATCACAGTTTCTTTAGAAACTTACCCCCTTGTTCATTTGGCTAAATAATTGTTTGTTTCAATTGGTAAATGTTATAAACCTATCAGAATATGTGTTGCAGACATACTTGTTCATCTTCTCTATCAACAGCAAGCTGTCCATATTCATTGTTTCCCCAAGAAAACACTTCACCTTCATCTGTAAAATAAAAGAATTTTAGTGCATAGCCATAACTGCACTGTGTAACTGAGCGTATTGTTTTGATAAAGCGCTGAATTCTCTACACTAGCTGACGAAGAAATTAGTAGGCAGTTAGGAGAATAAAAAGAATTGAATGGCTCAAGAGCCCATTACCTGAGAGTGCCAAGCAGCAATCTCCTGAAGTTGCAATTTGTTTTATCCTCACATCTTTCAGTTCTCCCTCGAGGATCTTACATGTTTCCTCATCTTCAAAATGATTCAAGCCTTTGGAAATTATAAATCAAGGAAAGATGACCCAATTTGATTGTTTAATCTGATTGCTCAGGTGTGATGATGATCATCAGAGTCAAGGAAGGAGCTGATTGTTAGTGTAGAGTTTTAGGTCTGGCTTTTGATACTTAGTTGGTTGCTTTTGCTGTCATGCCAGTGACTGTAAGAATCAAGGTCATTTGGTTTTGTTGACTGGTTTTATCAAGTTGCCCACACCATGGGTCAGTTAAGATTGTTGCATTCAATCTATCTGTAAACTTTGGTCATTTTGTTTGGTCCAAGCTATTATTGACAGATGATATGGTGCAGTACTGGTTGAAATCTATTACAAATAGTCTGTTTTAGTTGGTAAACCATAATTCTAAAGACAGTTTTGAAAGGGTTGATGGTGTAGTGTTATAACCATGATACTTAATTGCATAGAGAGTCAATGAGTTGGGAGAAATGTGTTGGCTTAGATACTAGCATGTTTGACTGCAGGTTAACAAGCTGCGTTCAAATAATTTCTGACATTAAAGCTTCACTCTTGATGAAGAACACCACACATTGATCTCCATCCATAGATCAGACCAGCACACAAAACACAAGGCTTACTGAAGACGTTTTTTTTAGCATTCATGAGTTATACTTGCACATGTTTTACATTGGAGCAATGAAATAAAGCATTGATAGTAGAATTGTAGACTGTACCAGTTTGTCCATCAGCACCCCACCCACAGGACATCACTGTGCCATCAGTTGACAACAGAAGGGTGTGGTCCAAGCCACATGCTATCTGAAGAAACAAAATTGAAAAAATATGACATATAACAATTCATCATGCAAATCAACAGATAGAATTCCAATCCAAACTCACCTGTTTGATCTTACTTGTAATATTAGGTATCTTGGTAATCTTTTCAATAGATCCTGCTTCTTTGCTTCCAGTTGCACACTGTCCATAGAAATTTCCACCCCAGGTCCAGACTGCATAACAACATTAACAGACAATGATTGTTATAAAACTTAAATCACAGTACACCCAAATCTTTCATTACCTAATTCCATGACCTCTGGACTTTCTGTTAGTTCTTTTGGAATGAAGCCACGAACTCTGACATTATCCATGAAAAGTCATCAATTTGATCTTAGAAAACTCACATATTTCACATCAATAAACACGATAAGCTTCACCCTGATACCAAAAATGACTCTTTTACATGTAGTCCATAACAGTCATTGTCATCCAGTCAATGTATGAGTTGTGCAATCTTTAATTTTTTTATTTAAAATGTTCCCACTAACAATCCTACGAATAAATTGTAGTAAGCAACTTGTAGAGTTTATTTTATTGCTTTCCCAGTAACATAACAAAATTACCTTCTCCATTGTCTAATAATATGGCTGAATGTGATCTTCCACAAGAAATCTGCTGGACTTGCATTGATAAAGGTATATTTGTATGGAGACCAACAGACCTCGGAACAGACTCAACTGCACAAGAGATTGAACAAAAAACACCATGTTCTAACACATTTCTCAAGTTAAATCAAGAATCTTGAGAAGCACAGTCAGTGTGGTGAGGGCACTCGTCTTCTGCAACTGTTGTCTCAGTATGATTCCTAGACATGTGGTCATCCATGAGTTGTGCTTGTTGTAAGTTAAGTCTACAATATTGAACTCCAATAGATAATGTTACACTAAATTCCAATTCTGCCTGGAAGCACATACAACTTGTACACATTTAAAAATAGTTCTTATTTAGTGCTCTTTACTATTATGTGATAAAAATAATCACTTTCTTTCCTATGTCTCTATTAAGCTGTGATTATCATGTTTGAGCCAACGTTAAGCCCCATAAAGCAGCTCAACCTGATCAAACAATGAAAGAAGTGTAATACACATCATACTTTCCAAATCACTGCATGTCTGTGGTCTTCCAAGCTGTGAAAATGTGTTTAAACCACTGGTCCACAGCCTGGGAATTCCTGCTTCAACTGCTACTGTGAATCCATAACCACAACCAATGTGAGAGACCTGCACAAACATGGTAATATGAGCTTTTAAAAATATATTTACAATTAAATATTAAGTAAAAAAATGAATCAGTTTTAATAAAAAGCTACCTCAGCTGAAAGAGGAAGCCTGATTGGCACTGGACTGTGCTTCTGGGTACCAGTCCCCAACTGACCTCCATCCCCAGCTCCCCAGACATAGGCAAATGAGGAAAACTGGGACACCCAGCCTATAATTAGCAAGAAAAGTTGCAAATTAAAGAAAAGAAAGAAAAAGCACACATAGTGATTATTTTCAGAATGATATCTCTATACTTGGATGTGAATACAGGCCTGAAAATGAGATACTTAACAAAATTATTTCATTTACTAATTATTTACTAGTACTTTCAGCTTAAAATGAAAAGGATTTCTTAATGGAGGTTTATTTAGTTAGTTTAATCCCTACTACGCAATACATTTGATAGCTCAACTCATATGCATGCTCTGTGACCAATGAGACAAGAATTAATGGACTTATACACTATGGATGGAGGGTGTTTGAGTGTTCAAAGCATGGGAGGGGTCAATTCAGATTAAATGTACCCTTCAATTGATATGTTAACCCTATATACCCAAAGGGTGACTTGCCTCTAATTTCTCCATAATTCTCACTCTTGAATCAAATATAAAGGTCATGAGAATATAGTAAATGATCATCAATTTTAGC